ATTGGTCTCTGTGAAAACATTGACTTTTAAAGTATGTCAAAATATGTAGCTCTTACCTGTTTCTACCTCCATTCCGCCTCGTGTGTCTGCTGTGTAGCCTCGTTATGAGTCTCGTTTCCGGTGTGACATTGCATTACTTATTTTCCCGATCATTTGATTGGTCGTACTTGACTGGTCGCTCTGACTGGGTTCGGTATCCCGGCTGCTATATTTCTTGGGAAGTAAACTTTTGATTTGCGATTGTACACTTATAATTTTGTTTATATGTTTTTTCATAACCAGCAATGTATATTATATGTCATGAATAAGTGATAATTGTGTTTTAATTATGTTTGATTTTTGGGTTGCATGTGACCTTTAAACTACACTAAAGTAGCACCAAACTCCTGCATCCAGTTAAAAAAAACCCAAAAAGCTACCTGCAATAAACAGTGTTCAAACAGAAAAATGCAGTAAATATATTTACCTGATAAAATACTTGGTTAAAATTCCATTCAATATAATGTTCATTTAAGTTTTATGTCAGTTGGACGTATAATTCCAGTAAGAAGAAAAGAGTATTCCAAATTAAGAAAAACTATTTACTGTTGTATTGTTATCTTGAAAAGTTGGAAATTGTGCCAAGAAGACATTTTGTCTGAATTTCAGCTATTAGACAGTTCAGATTTTTCAACACAATTACAACTCCAAAAAACACAATTATCAGCTCCTCTTCTTTCTGCCACTCCCTGCCTGGCGGTCAGGTGGATACTTCAGAAACGTTCCTAACTCTTTCTTGAAATTTTGATTATTCAAACAGACTATGAATTAGGATGAATTAGACGATGCTTTACTGTCATATATCATTTGCTATTGCCATAATGGTAATGCTGCACTTGGTAATTAACTTACCAGAGATGATTGAATACAACATTGTATTCTTAAAAGAAAACTTGCCATTTTACCCATCAACATTCATTCTTGACATCAAATTGTTTGACATTGTCCTGCAAAACAATGGAAGATTGTTGTTATTCTGTCAGATTTAGTTTTCTTTACAGATTGTTAGAAACGATTATTTCAAGTTAAATAGGAGTTGTACTGATGTAGCAATTTTGCTAACAGGAGTTATATATTGTAACAAAATCCATTTTACATTAAATGATAAGAAAACAAAATGGGTGGTGGTTCACAGGTCAAAGAACAAGTCTATTGTGGGAGGTCTTCCAACACCATTTATTCCCAAACACAAGGAAGTATGGATCATGGAGTTCTAAAAAACAATAATGAGCTCTCATAAGTATACAATATATTCTCTATTATCTACTCTGTCTCTCTTTGTCATTTGTACACTCATAAAACTCAGATAAATAACTTCTTATAATTCAGAAATGTTTACACTTAATCTCTTATAGGAACGCTTAGAAAATCTCATATAATGAAGTGTTCGTATATCTGCGACGTCATAACTATGCTTCTCTGAATCATGAACAATAAAATAATGAGATTAAACTCTACACTGCCAGAAATAATCTATCATACCCTGAATATAATAAGACACTGAATAACATCTCTTACAACTCCCAATCTACACTCAAGAAGACTGAAATCAGTACACGTAAACAAACATCGCTGTCACACGCAAATTCTTGGAAACAGTGTATCTCTGACTCTCAATTCCAAGAAATGGAAGTCCTACTCTCTTTGACCAAAGGGGTGACAGGTGGACAAAACATATTGAAATGTAGGTCAAACACTGAAAATAACTCTGATTCAAAACACTACAAATATACACCTTCTCTCTAATATACTCGATAGATGATCTTGACAAGGGAACATGTACATAAAATGCTGATATCTAACAATACCTGTACTGTAAATAATGGACTCTTCCAAATCTCAGCATGTTTCACTGCACACACATTTCAATGCATAATAATGAAAAACCTACTCTTTGACAATAATAAAAACCATCATATTCAAATTCTACAGCTGACCAAATATCTGAAGAGTGTCTCCCAGCAATAAACATCTATATATCTCTATAATTTATGACTTTTGTCCTCTTGCATGCTATCTCGCATCCAGCTCTTTACGGCGAAAAACAATATGAATCAACGTTTATGAAAGGTTGATCAACCAAACAACCAAAAGTCAACATTGATTAAACGTTGACTCAACGTTGTGTGCCGGCTGGGTAATTTTTTCCCAACTATAGCAGCAACCCCGATCACCGACTGTCTGTAATCACTGAGCCGTAACATTTCGCGTGACTTTCTCTACTGCATTATTGTAATGCCAAATTAACATACTTGTGATATCAGCTTTCGTACCTCACCTCCACCCGATGGTCGAGGGCTTACTTTCCCAACCATACCCGAGGAGGAGTGCTTTATTATACATATAAACCGTCAATGATGGATAATAAGTTGATCATGTTATGAAGCTACTAGTGGTGGTCCGATTAATTGAAATAATCGAAGATTGGTCGCAGTGACTAAACGACCAAGCAATCGATTATGTGTTTTCATGATCGAACACATACAATTATGGAACACTTGGTTGGTTTTGTCTGTTACATTTCATAAGGACTTCAAGCACGTTCCAAATCATGATTGAATTTATCTTAAAGACACCAGGAAATTTATGTTCCTAACATACTAGTCATCCTTTAAAGATGTGAAATTTTGCCAAAGAACAACTTTTTTTTTCCTTATTTTTTTGGTGCTTTAACAATTTCATAAATGGCGCTAACCAATTATTTTCGATGATTGATTGGGTGGTCATGCTCGCTGACTTGGTTGACACATTGGTGTCATCGTATCCCAACTGTGCAGATTGATGCTCAAGCAGTCTATAGCAGTGTATGAAATAAGCCAAAAACCCAGCCAGACATCTGGGCTGGTAACTTCAAAAACTTACCAGCCCAGAAGAGATTTAACCAGTCCTCATTATATACTAAATAGACAGTGCCACTGGACACGTTATCTGAATATTTTTTTCACCCGTCCATCGGGCTGGCTAGCTGTAAAATTAGACCGTCCGACAGACATCTAGCCCGTCTCGGGCTGTCGGACGGGCCTTATTTCATACACTGTCTATAGACCTTGGTGTAGTGATGCTGTTTTCAAACCAGTGCATCTGGCCTTATGGTCTACAGGCCTTTATCTTGACTCACAAACAAAGGGCTCCATGGTACCCCCAGGTTATTAGTTTTACAGGTCCAAGCAGGCAATATGAATGTCCTGTGAAGTAATGGTGTAGCATAAGGGAGCGCGGTGGGCGAGCTGGCTGGTTAGTGATCCAGCGAGGTTGAGGTGCAGGGATCGAGCCGACCTGTGACCGGGTGTAAAAACCTTGGAGTCAACATCATGTGCAGACTCTTTCAGTGTTAACACAACCCCTAGTGTATAGTACACAACCCTGTGCACTTAAAAGAACCTACGAATCCATTGGTATATGACCAGATGGTGGCCACATGAATACGTGCACACACCTAGTTGCGGGTACAGCAACGAGCAGTGAACTTGGACAAAGTACTGTGACTATGTGTCCCAGTCCACCTAGCTGTGAATGGGTACCTTGTAAGGATGAAAAAGCCACAATAACTCGGTGCGCCTAGTGGCAGCAAGAGTTGTATACTCCCCAGGGAGTGGAGATTGATAATACGATGTACCGTTGAGATTGACATGGGAAAAATGATCGAGGGAAAAAAACAACAGTGCCTTGAGCATGCACCAGTTGCGTGGATATGTGCGCTATATAAAAATCCTATAACTGTATGTTTTGATAATTTCTTTAGAGCCTGGAATGAATCATTGATCATTTGGACTGAGGGGTGAAATGATGCATGAAACCAGTGTGCGAAAAATAGTTTCCAAATTTCGCTAGCCAGTTGGACTAGCTATGCCTGAAAGTTACCAGCCCACAAAATAATTCACCAGCCTGAAATCTGAATGTAGAAACTAAGCAAAAGATTACAAAAAGGTAAAAAACATCAAAAACAAATAAGAAAACACATGTCTGAATTTCTTAAATATTTTGTTTATGCTGATATAACTTAAATTACTCATCATTAAGCTGCTGATATGATGAACATTTTTAGCAGGCCATAATCTTGCATGATTTAAAAGTGTATTATTAATTAACAAGTTGGAGAGAGGGATATATATTAGAAAATGACCCCATGAAAATTCACTAGCCAGTCTGACTGAAGAGATATATTGGCCCGACTGGATTTTTACTAGCCATGGGCTAGTGGGCCACGACGCACAAATATGCATCCAGTACACAGAGTGTGTACTGGATGCATATTTATCGTCGTCATGCCGAAGGGCGAGTATAAATACGGTATTATAAGAAGGGTAACACTATTTTTCAGGGCATTATCATTTGCAGAGCCTGAGGTCTTTCATTAACTGCACGACGAAGGAGGAAAAGACCGAGGGCTTCTGCAAATGATAATGCCCTGAAAAATAGTGTTACTATTATTATAGCTAAAATGGATAGAATTTCTAATAATATAAGAATATAAGCATTTACTGCCAACAACAAACGATGGACACACTTTTTACAAATACGGAAAAGTCACAGAACAAAACAAATGACGTCACTATTGAGAGTGACGACATTTGACCTTGACCTTTGCCCATACTACCAGCCGCCATTTTTTACAGTGCTCAACAACGTTAGAGTTCCAGTCGATGTTATCATTGTTGTATGTTGTAATTTATGGTACAATTGTTATGGTTGGCCCCGGCAAGAAAGTGCAGAATGGCACAGGTACATGTGACAAATGTGAGTCAGAAGTATTGTCAATAATGAACTCAAGTTTAAACAAGCCGTAGGTGAGAGCTACTGATGACGTCACCTAACAACGGGCATGATATTGGCCCGTCGTCAAGCAATTTGCGGGCATTATCAAGTTACAGTGGCTCGCTCATTTCTGATAAGGTGCGGGCGTTTTAATTATAATTCTATCCATTTTAGCTATATTGAGATGTTGCTGTTGTGTGTTTCAGCCAGGACGAGGCCCAGAAGATTGACCAGGAGCTGTTTGAGGACTACAGCTTCAGTCTGGAGCAGCTGATGGAGCTGGCTGGATACAGCTGCGCTGTCGCCATCGCCAGGGTCAGTCAGACAACAGACACCTCCGTGGTGTAGTGGTTAGAGCGTCCGCCCGTAGCGTCGCCAGGGTCAGTCAGACAACAGACGCCTCCGTGGTGTAGTGGTTAGAGCGTCCGCCGGTAGCGTCGCCAGGGTCAGTCAGACAACAGACGCCTCCGTGGTGTAGTGGTTAGAGCGTCCGCCGGTAGCGTCGCCAGGGTCAGTCAGACAACAGACGCCTCCGTGGTGTAGTGGTTAGAGCGTCCGCCGGTAGCGTCGCCAGCGTCAGTCAGACAACAGACGCCTCCGTGGTGTAGTGGTTAGAGCATCCGTCCGTAGCGCGAAGGTCGCGGGTTCAATCCCCGACCGCGTCATACCAAAAGACGTTAAAATATGGCACTTGTTGGTCCCTGCCTGGCGCTCAGCATTAATGGGTACAACAAGGACTGGTCGGCTCGGAGTCAGTATAATGTGTCTGAGTGGGGTATTCATGCTTCACTGCCGCATGGTATCTCATTGGGCTAGCACTATAAAACCAGCTTCAGTCTGGGCTAGTACAAGCAGCCGCACATACACATACACATGCATGCACGTCGTCATAAGAGCGAAATATTCTCAAGCATGATGTTAAACCCAATTTCACCTCACCTCACAGGTAATCAATGAGGACACCCTCGTACAAGACACCTCAGACAACAATGTCACCGTCTGCTATTGTTGAAAAACCATGACTGCAGAAAACTGGAAAATGTTGGTTCCTGTATTGTTACTTTCAAAATAACTGACTTGTAACAGAGTTTAATTCAATAAGTGTTCAAATTGTGTTTAATTTAGTGTGCAAAATTAAGGTAGAGTTGAAAAGTGGAAAAATATTATTTGAATTTCTTTTCTCAAGCCTGTGACCTTGTGTCATGTGCATGTCCAGAGTGTATTTTGGGCGGTGGGGTAGCCCATTGGTTAAAGCGCTCGTTCGTCATGCCAAAAGCCCGAGTTTGATTCCCCACATGGGTACAATGTGTTAAGCCCATTTCTGGTTTACCCCGCTTTGATATTGCTTTAATATTGCTAAAGGTGGCATAAAACTCACTCACTCACTCCAGAGTGTATTTTGTTCTAGTGTTTCCCGATAGACAACATGTCGAAGGACAACGGTGCGGTGCTGGTGTGTTGTGGGCGAGGCAACAACGGCGGGGACGGCCTTGTCTGTGCCAGACATCTCAAACTTTTTGTGAGTCACACGTTTTCATGTATACCATTGAAAAAAAAGTAGGGGATATTGGATTTACAAGATTGATAAAATGCAAATGATGAAGACAAGGAGGAAACAGATGATGAAGAGAAATTAGGGGAAAATGTGACAATTTATTCCATTCGTTTGGAAATGTTTCATCTGTATGGAGATATATTACCTTTTCTCATATGCATCGGCATTGGCTAGTGGTATGCTTGCAAAATGAAATATTTCCTAGTTTTTTTAATGGTATATTTCATAAATGGATAGACTCTATGTGCACCAGTAAAATGGATAGTCTGATCTCTGGATGACACAATCTTGTGCTCAAGCGTTATTCAACGGATAGTCATTGTGTATCTGTTTAATGGATAGTTTCCTTGTGTACTTGTATGTATACTGAGCGAAATAAGTTAGGGATATTGGTATTTTTATGATTGATATTTTATCAATGTGACAATGAATAAATAGATCATTGTTCATAATTTCAAAATATGCATATATCCCTAACTATTTTTGTCCAGTATAAGATGGTATGATCAACGGATCTCACAGTCTTGTACTCAGCAGATAGTTCAGTGTTTCCAGTAATGTCTCTTCCTGTCAGAATCTAGAACCAGTATTGATTTTGTTGAAATAAGTATCAATACAACTTTCTCTTCCTGTCAGGGGGCGGTGGGGTAGCCTCATGTTTAAAGCGTCCGTTCGTCACGCTGAAGTCTCGGGTTCGATTCCCAACATGGGTACAATGTGTGAAGCCCATTTCTGGTGTCCCCCAGCGTGATATTGCTGGAATATTGCTAAAAGCTGCGTACTCACTTGCTCACTCACTCACTCACTCACTCACCCACTCAGTGTCAGACTCAAGGACTAGTATTATTGAAATAAGTATAAATACAACTGCTGTTAATAACATTGCACTCCTGAACACCACTGAGATATGGAGTAGCCTTCAGTAACCCATGCTTGTCTCCAGTAGCCAGATCTAGTAGCCAAGCTTGTTGCCTTGGTTACTGCATGTCAGCATTTGTGAAGATCAATGCTCATTGGTTTGAATTGGGTTAAACCAACTAGGCTGGGGGGGGGTCACTCTTCAGGTAACTTTTGTTTCATAGTTCAAAATACATATCATCTTTACATTGTATGTATAAATTCACATGGTAATCTTTGTAATATTTTCAATATTTTCAAAATGTCCCTGGCAAGTTCATGCTTGGGTGAGTCTATTATTGTTCACGGTAGCTCTATTGTTTTACGTAATGTAATTACGTATTTTAGGATTTCTTTTCATAAAGTAGGTTTAATTTAGGTCTATTTCTCTCTTCTAGAGTATGTGCCAGGTCTAAATTTGTATTTTGCACAGAGAATTTTACATGTTTTTCAAAATGACATATTTTTCATCCCTTTGAGTAAAGTGGACAAGTCTATGAGTTTCAAGCTGCATAGCTTTTCAAGTAAATGCACTTCTCCTTCATTCAGTGATTATTTTGTGTAATTACTTATTATATATTTCAATTTGGACATTTTTTGCAGAGTTAAGGGTTTTAGAAGCCGTCAGGTGTTTGTTTGTGGGATATACTATTAGCGCATCACTCACTTTGTGTGTTGAGTCAGTGAGCATAAGGGCCAACAAGAGTTACTTCCCTTGAAGAGATAAATATTATTTCAAGCCAAGAATATTTTGTGATTGTATATTGATCTATGACAGATTAATGTCAATCTGATTCCAGTTTCCTGTTTGTATATTGTTTTTGGTTTGTTTTTTGTTGTTGTTTTTGTTTGTTTTTTTATTTCCAATTTTTGGTTACATTTCCATTCATTTCAAAACAACAATACATACATGTACATATATGCGCATATAGATGTACACAGGATTGTGAGTCATTTAAATGTCATATCTAAGACATTACATATATGCTGTTATTATTTCTGTATTTGACAGAACTCCAATATTAAGAGGGGCGGTGGGGTAGCCTAGTGGTTAAAAGGTTCGCTCGTCATGCTGAAGACCCGGTGTAGCAGGCCATTTCTTCCCCGGTCTAAACTTTCCCCGGGGAGGTTTTGTCCTAGGATATTCTTACCCCGGGGAAAGTTAGGGCTAGGCTAAAGTTTCCCTCCCTAGGCCAAACTTTCCCCCCTTGTTTAAACTAGGATATTTTGTTCTGTTGTCTATGAAAAGTGGAGAGATTCTGGCCTAGCTAGGCTACTTCTTCCCCACCTTTGCTCTTATAAACCGACAGTAGTGTTGACTTATATTTTGGTACTTATTTTGGCCAAATAGTCCATTCTTGCATCTGACTTGGGTGTAGTAATTTGAATGCATGCATGTTTGAATGGCATAAATCTCTAAATCCATCCTGCTCCTTCCGCCATTCCTATGAAGACACATTGCATTAGTTCTTCATCTGTCCAAATCATGTCACCATAAGATGTAAACATTCAATCACACATTTCCCCACATGGGTACAATGTGTGAAGCCCATTTGTGGTGTCCCCCGCCATGATATTACTGGAATATTGCTAAAAGCGGCATAAAACCCAACTCGCTCACTCACACACTCCAACATTAAGGGTGTTAGAAGTAGTGTTGGGAATTGGTTAAAACTTCATAATTGATGATTGCTAAATTACAACCGATCAATCATCAAAAATAATTGGTTAGCATCAATTATGAAGTTTTCCTGGGTTTTTTTTTTTTTGTTAATGAAAACAAATACATAATGAAAAAACATGTAGTTCTTTGGGGTTTTTTTTGGTGGCAAATTTCACATCTTGAAAGGATTACTACTTAACTAGTATGTTAGGAACATAAAATTCCTGGAGTCTTTAAGATAAATTTAATCCTGATTTGGAACAAGCTTGTAGTGGTTATGAAATGTAACAGACAAAACCAACCTTGTGAAAAATATTGTTAATGCAAAAAAGTGTTCCAGAATTGTTTGTGTTCGATTATGAGAAAACATGATCGATTGCTTGGTCGTTTAGTCACTGCGACCACCACTAGTTAGAAGAACTCCCAGCCTGGCTGTTCTTACCCAATTCAAACCACTCATGATGTCAGTCACTCGAATATGGGATCCAGAATTGATTATTTACAGGCAGCTGTTGTTTAGTTAGAAAATTGCTGACTGTGGCATAAAAAACAAGCAAACAAATTTGTACACTATATCACTAGGGCAGCCACGATTCACCAGGACCTTGAATCAATTCGATTTTCGATATTGGACCCTAGAATTGATCATTTTTTATTTTATCCTTCATACAAGTAAAAACATCAGATTTTAATTAACTTTCAGATTCGCTTTTTTATCTTGGAATCAATTTGGCGATGTCTACTAATAACAACTGCCATTTTATAATTAACCCGGCATCTTATTTCAGTTCTCGAAACCATTGAGTAAAAATTGTGTTCTGGTTGTGTGGAAATAATTTAAAAAGGCATTTAAGTATCAAATCGAAATGGTTATCGAAAATCAAAACTAAGGTGTCATATTCAATTTTCAATGAATCGAACCGAATCGTGTCAGCCCTATATATCACACTCACTGACTCCTTGCACTGACTTTCAGGGTTTCAAGCCCTCCATCTACTACCCGAAACAGAACAACAAAGCCCTGTTTGAGAGCCTGCGTCGCCAGTGTGAGGGGATGGACATGCCTTTCCTCTCCTTCTTCCCCTCCGACCCCCAGCTCATCAAAGACTCGTATAACCTCATCGTGGACGCGCTGTTTGGATTCAGCTTCAAGCCGCCTGCTCGACCTGAGTTTGCCTCCACCTTGGAAAAGTTAAAGACAATACAAGACGATGTGCACATCTGCAGCATAGATGTCCCTTCAGGTATAGCGTCTGTTTGGATTCTGGGATAGATCTGGTTCTTGAGAAATATACATTTTACATGGGGCGTCCGAATCTGCAGCAATGATGCCCCTTCATAGAGTCTGTTTGGATTCTGGCTTAGAACTGGTTCCTGGAAAATGTATGTCTCATGGGGCGTTCAAATCTGCAGCATCGATCTCCCTTCATAGAGTCTGTTTCGATCTGGGGTTACAACTGGTTCTGGGAAATATGCATGTTGCATGGGGTGTCCCGTTCTCTTCACACAGAGGTTACTTGTCTTTTCTTCCTATGAACTTCTGTTCTAATAGGCCATGTTGGGCCACAAATTCCTCTGCCGGGGATATTTAATGGCTAGCTTGTCTGTTGTCAACGAGGGCGATGGAGGCGCCATTGATCCGCCATTACATAACTGAGTTCTGTCAAGAAGAAACGTTTACGCATCGTGCATGGGAAGAGGTTCTAGTTTTCCTGAAGCCTACGGAAATTACTGAGTCCTTGCATATGATCACTTTTAAAAAAACAACATCGCTGATTGCACAACTAAATCTGATTGCAACCAATCAGAGGTTCGAAGGAAGATATGACAAATAACCTCTGTGGGAAGAGAATGGAGGCGTCAAAATCTGCAGCATTGATGTTTCTTCAGGTTATTTTGGGTTAGAATGTTTGGCCAGGAGCCATGGATTGCCATATTAATGTGTCAAATGGCTCTAAGGCAAGGTTGACTGTAAGTCATCCCACTCGGACAATGTCAGGCTCGATGACAAGGTTGACTGTAAGTCATCCCACTCGGACAATGTCAGGCTCGATGACAAGGTTGACTGTACGTCATCCCACTCGGACAATGTCAGGCTCGATGACAAGGTTGACTGTAAGTCATCCCACTCAGACAATGTCAGGATCGATGACAAGGTTGACTGTAAGTCATCCCACTCGGACAATGTCAGGCTCGATGACAAGGTTGACTGTAAGTCATCCCACTCGGACAAAGTCAGGCTCGATGACAAGGTTGACTGTAAGTCATCCCACTCGGACAATGTCAGGCTCGATGACAAGGTTGACTGTAAGTCATCCCACTCGGACAAAGTCAGGCTCGATGACAAGGTTGACAGTACGTCATCCCACTCGGACAAGGTTGACTGTTGCTCACTATATCAACCACGTGTTTGTCTGGTCCAGGCTGGATTATTTTCAAGCTGGTGTCATATGCCTGGAGTAGTAGTGTTAAACAATTCAGTGAGGTTCAACATTTGTATGGCTTTCTTTTTTAGATTTTTTCTTGATCGTTTTAATATGATGTGTTTGTGCATTTATGTCGTTTGCAAAGTTATGTCCCTTACGTGCTCCAGGATTTGATGATTAAATAAAACCCCACACTTATGGGTGTGAGTGTCACCAAAAGGAAAATGACTTGTATCGCACATTGAGGCACAATGAAAGCAACATTTATTACAGCTCACTCACTCACAAACTCCTTCCCTCAAAAACCCACCCATCCAACCAAAACTCACTCACTCACTCTAAAACCCACCCATTCAACCAAAACTCACTCACTCACTCAAAAAACATCCCATCCACCCAAAAACTCACTCACTCACTCAAAAACCCACCCATCCACCCAAAACTCACTCACTCACTCAAAACCCCACCCATCCACCCAAAACTCACTCACTCAAAAAGCCACCCATCCACCCAAAACTCACTCACTCACTCAAAAACCAACCCATCCAACCAAACCTCACTCACTCAAACACCCACCAAACCAAAACTCACTCACTCACTCACTCAAAAACCCACCAATCCAACCAAAACTCGCTCACTCAGAAACCCACCCATCCACCCAAAACTCACTCACTCAGAAACCCACCCATCCACCCAGAACGCACTCATTCGCTCAAAAAAAACCTTATCCAACCCAAACTCACTCACTCACTCACTCAAAAACCCACCTATACACCCAAATCTCACTCACTCAAAAGCCCACCCATCCACCCTAAACTCACTCACTCACTCAAAAACCAACCCTTCCAACCAAATGTCACTCACTCAAAAACCCACCCATCCAACCAAACTCACTCACTCAAAAACCCACCCATCCAACCAAACTCACTCACTCAAAAACCCACCCATCTACCCAAAACTCACTTACTCAAAAACCCACCCATCCACCCAAAACTTACTCACTCACTCAAAAACCCACCCATCCTCCCAAAACTCACCAACACACCATCTCACTCACCAACTCACTCAAAATGCCAGCCATCCACCCAAAATTCACCCACACACCCACCCACCAATTCATTCACACATTCACTCACTCACTCACTCATTTCAGGCTGGGATGTGGAAAGCGGAGACCCTGATGGCATCCAGCCCGAGCTGCTCATCTCGCTGACGGCTCCCAAACTGTGTGCCCGCCACTTCAAGGGGAAGCACCACTACCTGGGCGGCCGCTTCGTCCCCAAGACACTGGAACAGCGCTACAGCCTCAATCTTCCTGCCTACCCAGGCACCGAGTGTGTAATAGAACTGAAAACACAGACCACGGAACCGGCAGAAAGTTCCAAGTGATTCTCTCCGACATTTGCCATCATTCAACCTCCTGCTGTTTGTTAATAGCTTGAACAATGTGTGACTTATATCCAAACTTTTCCCAACAATGTATAGATAAAATGTTTGGGGCAGATGTGTTGTGCAAGGGTTGAAGTTATTTTAATAATTGGTTTCATTGGGTTAAACTGCTTTTACCTGTAGTAACATCATTGTTTATCAGCCTAGAGGCAGTGTGCAAAATAGCCACTGGCCCACTAGCCTGTGGCTAGTAAAAATCCACTCGGGCCAGTAAATCTGCACAGTCACTGGCCGAACTAAATAGTAAATTTTCATGGTGTCATTTTTAAAATATATCTCACTCTCTCTGACCTGTTAAGTTATAATACACTTTTAAATTATGCAAGATTATGGCCCCATAAATGATGGTATTTTCCCTTTTGTAATCTTTTGCTTAGTTTCTACATTCAAATTCATGATAGTGAATTATTTGGAGGGTAGTAACTTTCAGGCACAACTATCCCAACTGGTTGGCAGAATTTATAAACTATTTCGCACACTGCTTAGAGGTAGTCATCAAGTCATAGAAAAGAGCTTCAAGACCTACCATAACACGTGACTAAATCTCATAATGGTATTTTATGTTTCTGCATCCATCAGCAGCATATATCTTTATAAAGCAAATCTTCCAAAACTAAAAGTTAATTGAATAAACATAGTCTGTGTGTATATTTCTGACATTCTAGCTGATTGTGGAATGGCTGCCCATGGGAGACACAGAAATGATGCTGTTAGTAGATTTTATGACACAGAGTCAGGTTTTTTGTAATACTGGGTGTACACAATACTAGAATATGGGAAAACGGATGAGCCCCACTTCAGTCTTAATGACTTCTCCTTACTTCCTTGTATCATTTTGAATTACCGATGGTCGCAAGGACAGGGTTATATTACACAATAATACACAGAAAGCATCTGCTCTGTTCAAAGGTTTATATATTTTATTGTTCATCAGTTTTTTCATTTAAACAATTTTTTGTCTGATCGCTGCATTTTTGCTCATGTTTGCCAAAGAGTAAAGTGAAACGTTTAATTTAAATTTAAATTCCTATTGTTATTTAAATGAAAATATTTGGAGAAAAGGTGAAAAAGTGAAAGAGTTGTGTCCCTTGATTAAAAAAGTATCCGCTGCTGATCAAGTTAAGATATTCTGACTGAGAGAACTGAAAGGTTTCAAATCACAATAATTACCCCAGATGAAAACAGGTCATTTGATGACTTCTTACAACTTTTGTCAGAGAGATGGATCTAACCGCTAACTGCCTCGTGGTTAAGGCGTTCGCTCGTCACGCCGAAGACCCGGGTTCGATTCCCCACATGGGCACAATGTGTTAAGCCCATTTCTGGTGTCCCCCGCCGTGATATTGCTGGAATATTGCTAAAAGCGGCATAAAACAAAACTCACTCACTCACTCTAACCACTAACTGATATTCAGATTTAAAGACGCATGAACACTTAATGGGGATTTTATGATTTCATTAAGAATAAAACACATATTAACAAAAAGTACAGCACCTGTCATAAAAAGGGCATTCAGAATATATTTTTTAATAAAAATATATTTGAAATTTTGTGTAGGTGTGGTTAGTAGTCGACAATGAAATGTCATCATGTCAACTTAGGGAGAGACGATGAGGCGGAGATTGTGAAAAGGATGACAAGTATTCAAAACAATAACCCTCCAAAACAGCTAAGTCGAGGGTTATTGTTTTGACCAACATTTTCTGTGGGTTCATTCTGGGCTGGAGAAAAGAGACACTATATTTGTGTGGAGCAATTTTAGACAAAAAAATTCCATATGAACTGCACAGTCATCTGTTTCCAGGACAACCAAATCTGATTGTAGGCAGGGTGTGTGAACATAATGTGCGGGATTTTTTAAAATACACAACGTGTGATTTATCCAGTTTTCTTATTGCCATGTGACATACGTTCCAGATTGGGCATACATTATTTATCAGGGCCCTGTTCCTCAAAGCGATCGTAACCCTAAGATGATCGTAACTCCCATACTTTAACATAGACTTACGACAGTCGTAGTGCTACGATCCCTTTAGGAACAGGGCCCAAGGCTTCATCTGGGTTAATCTGTTATTCTGCATGTCACATTTTTGTGTATCAGTGAACAAAAAAGATCATTTCTTTTCAAAATTGTCGCCAGTTTGAGAGTTTGAAATCCTTGAAAACCCTACGATAAAGTTTACATAAACAGTGTATAGCCACTCACATTTCTATACTTCTGATCTGATTTAAATGTATTTTAACCAATAAGATTGAAACTGACATTCACCTCGGTACAAATTACCCACAATTACTAACAGGATAATCATATTCATCATTCTGTTAACAAGGCTCCAGATAAAGGCCGTATCGGCGTATGTACGGATATGAAATAGGCACGATACGGTAGGAAATAATTAGAACACGTAGCAGATACGCACCACAGCAATGGTGTAGAGTCTTAGAATCATTTACAGACGTATTTATCTGAAAAGGTATTGCTTTATTGTTTATTGACCTGTTTACACAAGAGTAGCAATGTTGTGGTGCATATATGAAACGAAACACAAGATTTCTGATACTCCAGTAAATTCTACTCAGTACTCTAAATTTACTCTTATTGTTTTCCAGTACTCCTAAATTGAAAAAATAAGGAGTACGTACTCCTGATCATGAAAAATTATCTGGAGCCCTGCTGTTATATCTGGCGTGAGATAATCTCATTATGTATCATGAGAAAGTTTTGTGTGGCTTGGAAAGATAAAAAAATATCCCTATCGAAAATGGAGTAATATACTATATTGTATTAAACTTTATCAGGTTATATATCTGATGTGACTGCGCTATAGTGGATGTATGTGAATAACCTTTTGTATTCATTTTGTACTCTGTGTTACAGCTTACAGTCATATTTTTGACATTTCATTTTATTTGTACTTCTCAGCTCTGTGTTGCCATGGTTACAGCCAAGCATTTGTATTTTTGATGTTGTATTTTTCATTATTTGGTTTGCAGACCTTCAAGCCCAAACATCAAGAATGTGGAAGACTGTTTGTTGGTCATGAAAATAATCACAAGTTGTTTCCACCACCCTTTGACATGATATACTCAGCTATCAGTAAATGGTTGCATCTAAGGCAGTGGGGGTAATCTTGTCGATCCAGTGATCACAAGTCTGGGTTCGATTCTCTTCTTGATTGAAGCCAAATTAGGGTGTCGTGATATTGCTGCAAGATTCCTGAAAACAGCATGACGTGCCACATGTTACGTCATTTACGTCACATCGGCATTATTTCAGCCATGTAGCGATGAGACCAAGTTGGCACACATGTACGTTAAAGGATCTAATTTCATCTCCATATCTTTTGGACCGACAGGATCAACAACAGTCTGTAAACCAAGTAATGAAAGACAGATATCTGTACTTTGAATTGTGTCTGTACAGTGTTTTTAGCTGTTGTTCTGCAGATTTATCTCTGAAAATTGATGTTTATGAAATACCAGTAATAATTCTTCAATGGCAGTGTCCCTGATCTGACGAACCTTGTTCCGACTCTGTTACTTATCACGTGACACAGGATACACAATACTGGCTTCAAAATGGCTTCCATTCTGCAGCAGACGCGAGAAAACATGGCTTGAGATGAAACTGCCGTCTGAGTGCATACTACTGTCTGTCACCAGGGTAACAAGATGTAAATCCATATAATATTGAGATGTTACCATGATTGAGTTTGACGGCAGCCATTTTGTTTGTTAGTGTTTCTTTTGTCACGTGATATCTTACGAAGTGGAAAATCCAGTACTGTTTGTTATGAACGGTTTTGAAATAATCGTGTAACTGTTTTGTAGGGTTGAGAGAAATTAGGGAAACCAGGTAACACTGCAATACTCTCTAACATGGCATGTGAAACAGTCGTGACAAACTTGAAAACCACGTGTATCATCCTCAAGTAGCCATTTGCATCCATATTATAATGACAATAATATTGTATGTGATTATCATATATCATTGCTTGTAACACCTATCCTCTTTCTCCAGCGCTGGGATTTCGGTAAATCGGTACCAAACCCTGGATCCATTCTTGTAGTTCCTGCAAGTGCAGAGCTTATATCATAGCTTGTAACAACTATCCTCTTTCTTCAGCACTATCGTTTCGGTAAATTGGCGCCAAACCCTGGATCCATTCTTGTAGTTCCTGCAACTGCAGAGTCCCTGCGATATCATCACAGCTAATTCAATATGCTATGTCACAGGTTTCCGCCTGTGTTTGTGTGTTTGTCAATAAATAATCGGAGCGTTTGGAAAGGCAGGTCAGAAATTTTGATTTACAGAACCTGTCTAAAAGCTTTGGCTACCCACATTGAAGAAGATAAAGTTTGACAAATGTGACACTATTTCAATATTACAAAATTAATGCTGGTGTTAATAGGATCTGTGAAACAAAATTAGACATGCATGGGTTTTCTTAACATATGATTCCTTGAATTTCTATGTTATAGTCTTTTGTAAGCCCCCTTCAATAAATATATTTGGCAGCTTTGGAGTTATTTGGTTTATAATGGTGCTGAAAATAATGAAGCCGTGACCAGACAATCCTGTGATTGATATCATGAGCACCAATTCAGTGATCAGAAGACAATGAGAGAGATTCAGCTAAGGACATGAGCTCCTGATGCAGCAAGTTGCCACATCAATTGTCACGCCAGTAAATAAGAACACAGTACCAAGCGACATGCAACAGGCCAAGTCACACAGGCCTATGACCTTGTTCAAGTCTCAACACAATCAGACCGCCTCCGTGGTGTAGTGGTTAGAGTGTCCGCCTGGAGAGCGGAAGGTCGCGGGTTCGATCCCCGACCGCGTCATACCAAAAAGACGTTAAAATATGGTACTTGTTGGTCCCTGCCTGGCGCTCGGCATTAATGGGTACAACAATGACTGGTCGGCTCGGAGTCAGTATAATGTGTCTGAGTGGGGTATTCATGCTTCACTGCGGCATGGTATCTCAGTGGGCTAGCACTATAAAACCAGCTTTAGTATGGGCTAGTACAAGCAGCCGCACATACACATACACACACATGCACATCGTCATATGAGCGAAATATTCTCAAGCACGACGTAAAACCCAATTTCACCTCACCTCACCTCAAGTGTTCATTTGTTGTTTAACACTCAGCAGTATTCCAGCTGTATGATGGCAGTTAATCCTGTTAATCCTGGGTTGAAATCCTGAGCATAGATTTAGGGTCGGTGGGGTAGCCTAGTGGTTAAAGAGTTCGCTCATCATGCAGACATCGAGCCCCCACATGGGTACAGTGTGTGAAGTCCAAATCTGATGTCCCTCGGAATGATATTGCTGGTATATTACGATGATAAGCACAGATATAGGGGCAATGGGGTAGACTGGTGGTTAAAGCGTTCACTCATCACGACAAAGACCTGGGTTCGAGTCCCCACATGGGAACAATGTGTGAAGCCCATTTCTGGTGTCCCCCACCGTGATACTGCTGGAATATTGTTAAATGCAGCGTAAACTAAACTCACTCACTCACTCAGCATAGATTTACAGTTTTGGTTCAATGATACATCACCGGCAGCTCCGATGGAAGAACTGTGGCTATGCCACAATACGAATATCAGCTACCGAAATTGGTTTTGTTGAAAACTCAGTATTCTTTGTACCGTATATTACCATCTATAAGACGACCCCATGGATAAGACGACCCCCAAACTTGACCATTAAGATCAGTGTCAAAATGGTATGTTTCGTGCATAAGTCGATCCCCTGCGATGGGGTCCTAATCACGGCAAACACAGACCACAGACAACTGGCAGTTACCAATAATTATAACTTTGGTCCACATTAATCAAAGAATTCACAATCATATATATTGCGTCTACACACGGATCGAAATGAAGTGTAGTTGACAAAAAATGCATAATATATTATATTTCTCTAAACATCATATTTATTGTAGCAACAAACTGGCTCACTTATTTTATCCCATTCAACAATCACGAACTGATTACCGCCCCGTATGTTGTTTTATGCCTCACTCAGCAGTTTTCTAGCTATACGACAGTTGTCAGTAAATAACTGGGTTTGGACCAGACGATCCACTGATTGACGTCATGAGCATCAATACAAGTCTGACCAAGTGATCACCTCTTAACGACAAGCATGGGTTGCCGAAGATCAGTTTAACTCAGATCTTCATGTTCTATACAATCATTGGCTACTCATGGTAAGGCAAATAGTGAGTGAGTGAGTATGGTTTTGCGCTGCTTTTAGCAATATTCCAGCAATATCACGGCGGGGACACCAGAACCAGAAATGGGTTTCACACATTGTACCATGTGGGGAATCGAACCCGGGTCTTAGGCATGACAAGCGAACGCTTTAACCACTAGACTACCCCACCGCCCCAGTAAGGCAAAGATGCTACTTGTGTGATTCATGGGTTCTGCAGTGAATGTAGGTGTGGTTGGGATGCTGAGTGTGGGTGAAACAATAACTTAATATACTGAACAACATTAGAAACGCACCACCCATATAATATGAAATATCCCAGACTGAAATGTACCCATGATATCTGAGAATCATCGGTGCATTTTAGTGTAGTGGCGTTTCTAATGTTGTTCAGTACATAAAACCTTGTCAGCAAAGATTAACAAAGTAACTATACTAGGCACATAAAGAAACATAAGGATTTAAACTCAGAGATTAGTGACATGTATCCAACATGCATGCACGTGCCAAGTTCCGTGACGTCAGTGGGTTCGTGCATTTCACTTTGGAAAGCTCAACCTCTGCACTTGCGATCGTTCAAAAAATTAAATGGCTATTGAAACGCATAGCATGCCAAGGCTCACGTCTGCACAACGTCATGAGGCCATTGGGGTGGTCCGTGGGGGGAATGTAAATTTCCACTGCCACCGGAACACCATTTCTGACACTGGTGAGACGCTACCAGAACACAAATGACATCATCGATCGGCCACGTTCTGGACGTCCACGTGTAACACCACCAAGACAGGACAGATGGATAAGGGTGACCCATCTTTGCCACAGGTTTCAGACTGCAGTGATGACTGCCCGAACCATCCCAGGACTTCGCCGTATCCACCCCAACACAGTTCGACAACGTTTACATCATCACGGAATCAGACCACGACATCCCGCTAAGACGTCGTCGACAACATCGTCGAATGTGGTGCCGAAATCATGTCCGTCATGTTTTGGTGGAGAAATGTTGTTTTTACAGATGAGTCCAAGTTTAACATTTCCCATAGTGATGGATGTCAACGTGCCTATAGACGCGTGGGAGAACGTTATGCACAGGCCTGTGTCTTGGAGAGGAATCGCTTTGGTGGTGGTTCCGTGATGATTTGGGGTGGAATAACAGCACGCCAAAGAAGGTCATTGACCTTGCAACAGAACTTGAGAGAATCTGGTGTGACATCCCACAAGCCTTCCTTCTTCCTTGCACGTTTGATAGGCTCTATGCGTCGTCGATGCACTGCTGTTCTCAATGCCGATGGTGGACATACCCGTTATTGAGCTTGTGACATGGTTGTTTGACCCCTGTCCTGCTTGTGGACTCGTGACGTCATTGTGATTGACTTTTCAATTGAAATTCTCCAGACTTGTTATGGTCTCATGATCCCTCCATTAAAGTTTATACGTACCTGTGACATTGTTATCGTACTTATCAACTGGGATAATATTTTGACAATGCACAGTTTCTTTATGTGGCTAGTATAGATTGTGTTTGAAACTAATGTGTTGCCATAAAATGATACCACTATATTTACTAGTACATGAGATACTTGTAATACAGAGATGCTCGTGGTCCAGGCTGTACCCAGTTCAAGCGTTCAATCCCCCGAGGTGCTAAGCTGCAGTTAAACATTGAATACCCAAATCCGACACTGCGAACCTACTCTGAGCCAACAAATCCTCATTTCCAGGCAGGGTAACAAAAAGTAACATATTTTACCATCTTTTGGTTTGGTTGATCCAGGGATCAAACAAAGACATTCTACTCTCCTGGCAGACGCTCTCTCCACTCTCCACTGAACCAAGGACCGGGTTATGCATCTTTGTATGCAAGCAAGTAGAAATTCAACTAGGTACTTGTTAGATAGAGAATCTCACCCGAGTGTCTTCTGATATCAAATATATCACGACGAGTTGATAAAGTAACAAATATCCGAGGCTTGCCGAGGATATTTTTACTTTTATCAACGAGTGTTGATATATTTGATATCAGAACACACTCGGGTGAGATTCTATTTATCATCAAAAATCACTCTTCATTAGTTTTCAATGAAAAATGTACATCTCTGAACACGGTACTGCCATTAGATTTGCAGTGCAGCGATGTCATAACATTGTGACGTCAACAAGTTCATGACATCATAGCATTGTCAGAGCATTGTACAAAATCTACTGTCAAAACGATATCTCCTAGGAGACATCGTCGGATCTCACACAAGCGATATCGACTGTGGAACACAGTTTTGGATGATAAAATATTTTATTTACACAGATACCGAATTTCATAATGAATGTCCTCTTCACAAACAAACTCTGTAGGACAAAGGCTACAGCAAATGAAAATATTCCAATATTGCTGTTTGTTGTATAAAACTGCGCTGTGCAATATTCCAGTTATATCTTGCTGGTCCTTGTTTCACAAAGTCTTCTCACTGCTGGTACAATTCTGACTATATCACGAGCTTGTGGTTAGGAATCACTATCAAAATAGAGTTCCCTGACCCATCAGTGGCACATCACAAACACATGCAAAGGCTAGGAAATTGTTCACAACTTTAATTGCATTGGACATCAAACATTACACTGATGTGTCAAAAGTTTCCCAACATATCAACCATAAAATTTTCTGAAAGTTTCCTTGAGGCCATGAGTGAGTGAGTTGAGTTTTACGCTGCACTCAGCAATATTCCAGCTATATGACGGAGGTCTGTAAATAATCTGGACCCGACAATCCAGTGATCAACAGCATGATCATTGATCTACGCCCTGAGGCCTTGAATGTTATGAAGGAATGCAATAAGGAGGAAAATATGTATTGGCTTGGCCACATCGTGCTAGCCTGATGTATTGGCTCGGCCACATCGTACTAGCCTGATGTATTGGCTCGGCCACATCGTACTAGCCTGATGTATTGGCTCGGCCACATCGTACTAGCCTGATGTATTGGCTCGACCACATCGTACTAGCCTGATGTATTGGCTCGGCCACATCGTACTAGCCTGATGTATTGGCTCGGCCACATCGTACTAGCCTATGCCAAACTCATATTGGATCTCTTGTGTGTACATTGTATATCGGGTGTCCCCCAAAAAGTGAAGCGGTTTTTAACAAGTATTTTATCAGCGATAAATAAACCGAATTTATTAAACATTTTCACCGAGTTACCCTATGGTATCATCAACAAGTCTACAAAATATCTAAGAAAACTGGAGGCAAATTAAGTGGGTATTGTCAAAACAATATGTCCAAATATGCAATATCAAGAGAAAACTCACTTATTTCAGTCTATGCTCAACATGGCCTCCATCTTCCTCCACAACTAAACGAAGCTGTTTTATTCCAAACAGAAATGCTTTTACATATTTCTTCTACCGATATCTCCTGCCATGACATAATTATCCTGTCCTTTAACGTCTGCTTGGTCAATTTGTCTCTCACTCCTCTGTAAACTTTCTCCTTGAGGGAATCCCATATGGCACTGCATTTTCGGACATGCTGTTTTGAATTTTACAATACTCGCATAATTTGTGACCAATCTCTGCGATATTTTGTAGACATGTTGATGATACACTAGGGTTACTCCGTGATTTTTTAAAATACATTCGGTTTATCTATCGCTGAGAAAATACTTGTCAAAAACCGGTTCACTTTTTTGAAGCCGGCTGAGTATATTATGGACATTTGATTATTAACAATAAATAGAACAAAAATTATTGGATCATTTCTCTTCCTGAACATATGCAAGGGATGTAACTCTGTCTGCTTAAACACAATATCAACAATAAATATAACAAAAATTATTGGATCATTTCTCTTCCTGAACATATGCAAGGGATGTAACTCTGTCTGTTTAAACACAATATTATCTCCTTTCAAGTACAAACCCGAGTTCCTGAATACACCAAAACCATGTGAAGTCTTATGTGAATGTGAGAGTTGGCGGAGTTGAATACCACTTGGAACAATAATTCAGTCAAGTCACAGCGAGTCAGCTTAATATGGAAGGAAAGCCCAAGTAATACAAGTCTTGGATAAAATTAGAGCACTGTATGGTGCAGACAGACCATAGAATCCTTATACACCTAAGGGAGACAATTGCACCTTCTCCAAGCTGGCACCTGATTTCTTACATTTCTCCATTAACATCCACCATGATCACAGGATCCTTATAGACCTAAGGGGAGACAACTGCATTTGCCTAAACTGGCCACTGCTATCAAACATCTACATTTCTCTCTTTGAAGATTTTATCAAGGGCTTCTTCCATGATTTTATTTGTTCCACGCAGTCCTGCTACAACTTGAGCTGCCCATATAAAGTATCCCTGCATCCGCTGTTGTGACCATCCACGCGGCACTGTACGCTGGAGATCACGCAAGTTGTATAGTTTGTCTGCTAGCTTCACTAGCTTGGCTTTGGGGCTGGCGTGGGGCGCGTGTTCAATTTGAAGACGTTTCCGGTCTTCTTTCATTAGCGTCTTGTCATCAGATAGCTCCACTACTAGATCTGAAACAGACGGTGAGTCAGTGAGTCTAGCCATACAAACTTTCAAAGCCCATTCCAAATGTGTTAAAGAATTCGCCCGTAACGCCAAAGGTCTGGGCTCGATTCCCCAAATGGGTACAATGTGTGCAGCCCATTTCTGGTGTCCCCCGCCGTGATATTGCTCGAATATTGCAAAAAGCGGGGTAAAACCAAAACTCACTCACCCAAATAAGTTAATATGCAAATTACTAATTATCTTGCAAATACTCACTATCGGTAAAGGAAAACACTGTCAGATAGATAACGCTTCCTTCAAAAACAACATATTCAACTTCAAGTGTCCAAATATGTGGATTATCACATTGATATTATATATGTGGAAACTTTTGCTCCTTTTCAGTGAGGATCTGTCCACTCACCTCGAACCTCCTTCCCAAACTCTGCCTCGATTTCATCAAAGGTTGTGCTGGTATCTTCCACAGTATCATGCAGCAGAGCTGTCTGAAACACAGAAAGAAGCAGATGGCTAAATGTTATAGATTCATTGTGACTAACGAAAGTTTTCTCAAGATTTGGATCCACTCAACAGCCAACAAGAATCACTCCATTTCTGACAAGATCCCCAGACTTAGTAATCTGTCCACTCACTCCCACCTGTTCATCAACATATCACTCACACCCTTCTGGTCAAACCAACCAATCCATCAAACAACATAGACTCATTGACCAACCAATCCACCAAACACCATAGACTCATTGACCAACCAATCCATCAAACACCATAGACTCATTGACCAACCAATCCATCAAACAGCATAGACTCATTGACCAACCAATCGATCAAACACCATAGACTCATTGACCAACCAATCCATCAAACACCATAGACACATTGACCAACCAATCCACCAAACACCATAGACTCATTGACCAACCAATCAATCAAACACCATAGACTCATTGACCAACCAGTCCACCAAACACCATAGACTCATTGACCAACCAATCCACCATAGACTCATTGACCAACCAATCCACCATAGATTCATTGACCAACCAATCCATCAAACACCACAGACACATTGACCAACCAATCCATCAAACACCATAGACTCATTGACCAACCAATCCATCAAACACCATAGACTCATTGACCAACCAATCCATCAAACACCATAGACTCATTGACCAACCAATCCATCAAACACCATAGACCCATTGACCAACCAATCCATCAAACACCATAGACTCATTGACCAACCAATCCATCAAACACCATAGACTCATTGACCAACCAATCCACCATAGATTCATTGACCAACCAATCCATCAAACACCACAGACACATTGACCAACCAATCCATCAAACACCATAGACTCATTGACCAACCAATCCATCAAACACCATAGACTCATTGACCAACCAATCCATCAAACACCATAGACTCATTGACCAACCAATCCATCAAACACCATAGACTCATTGACCAACCAATCCATCAAACACCATAGACTCATTGACCAACCAATCCACCAAACACCATAGACTCATTGACCAACCAATCCATCAAACACCATAGACTCATTGACCAACCAATCCACCAAACACCATAGACTCATTGACCAACCAATCCATCAAACACCATAGACTCATTGACCAACCAGTCCACCAAACACCATAAACTCATTGACCAACCAATCCACCATAGACTCACTGACCAACCAATCCATCAAACACCATAGACTCATTGACCAACCAATCCACCAAACACCATAGACTCATTGACCAACCAATCCCCCAAACACCATAGACTCATTCACCAACCAATCCATCAAACACATTGACCAACCAATCCACCAAACACCATAGACTCATTGACCAACCAATCCCCCAAACACCATAGACTCATTCACCAACCAATCCATCAAACACCAGACACATTGACCAACCAATCCATCAAACACCATAGACACATTGACCAACCAATCCACCAAACACCATCAACTCATTGACCAACCAATCCACCAAACACCATCAACTCATTGACCAAGCAATCCATCATATATCACCAACTCATTCAACAACCAATCCACCAAACACCATCAACTCACTGACCAACCAATTTATCAAACACCATAGACTCATTGACCAACCAATCCCCCAAACACCATAGACTCATTGACCAACCAATCCACCAAACACCATAGACTCATTGACCAACCAATCCATCAAACACCATAGACTCATTGACCAACCAATCCACCATAGACTCATTGATCAACCAATCCACCATAGACTCATTGACCAACCAATCCACCAAACACCATAGACACATTGACCAACCAATCCACCAAACACCATAGACACATTGACCAACCAATCCACCAAACACCATAGACACATTGACCAACCAAACAACAAACCAATTTATCAAACACCATCAACTCATTGACCAAGCAATCCATCAAATATCACCAACTCATTCAACAACCAATCCACCAAACACCATCAACTCACTGACCAACTCTCACTCACACACCTGTGTGTATTATCACCTGGATGACACTAAGGTCTGTGATGCCAGCCTCTTCTGTCAATATATACGCCACACCTGTCGAAAAAAGAACCAACGTGAGCCACGGCTCAGAAATATACCAACGTGAGACGTAGATCAGAAATATACCAACATAAGACGTGCATCAGAAATAAACCAACACTTACCAACATCCTCTATAAAACAACGATAAACCAGGGTTCTGTATTTAGAGATTTAGATCATCTCCAATGTATTGGGACAACATCCTGGCATAACTAAGGGACATAATTCAACACAGCCAGGTGTTCATTCAGCAAAGTTCCATCTCGGACTGACGACCCAAGTACAGGTATACTCACCTATTGGGTGGTTGATGTAGGGAGCCATCTCGGACTGACAACCCAAGTACAGGTAGGTATACTCACCTATTGGGTGATTGATGTAGGGAGTCATCTCGGACTGACAACCCAAGTACAGGTATACTCACCTATTGGGTGGTTGATGTAGGGAGACATCTCGGACTGACGACCCAAGTACCAGTAGGTATACTCAACTATTGGATGGTTGATGTAGGGAGTGATCTCAGACTGACAACCCAAGTACCAGTAGGTATACTCACCTATTGGGTGGTTGATGTAGGGAGTCATCTCAGACTGACAACCCAAGTACCAGTAGGTATACTCAACTATTGGGTGGTTGATGTAGGGAGTCATCTCGGACTGACTACCCAAGTACAGGTAGGTATACTCAACTATTGGGTGGTTGATGTAGGGAGACATCTCGGACTGACGACCCAAGTACCAGTAGGTATACTCAACTATTGGATGGTTGATGTAGGGAGTGATCTCAGACTGACAACCCAAGTACAGGTAGGTATACTCACCTATTGGGTGGTTGATGTAGGGAGTGATCTCAGACTGACAACCCAAGTACCAGTAGGTATACTCAACTATTGGGTGGTTGATGTAGGGAGTCATCTCGGACTGACTACCCAAGTACATGTAGGTATACTCAACTATTGGGTGGTTGATGTATGGAGTCATCTCGGACTGACAACCCAAGTACAGGTAGGTATACTCAACTATTGGGTGGTTGATGTAGGGAGTCATCTCGGACAGACAACCAAAGTACCAGTAGGTATACTCACCTATTGGATGGTTGATGTAGGGAGTGATCTCAGACTGACAACCCAAGTACCAGTAGGTATACTCACCTATTGGGTGGTTGATGTATGGAGTCATCTTGGACTGACAATCCAAGTACAGGTATACTCACCTATTGGGTGGTTGATGTAGGGAGTCATCTCGGACTGACAACCCAAGTACAGGTAGGTATACTCACCTATTGGGTGATTGATGTAGGGAGCCATCTCGGACTGACTACCCAAGTACAGGTAGGTATACTCACCTATTGGGTGGTTGATGTAGGGAGCCATCTCGGACTGACTACCCAAGTACAGGTAGGTGTACTCACCTATTGGGTGATTGATGTAGGGAGCCATCTCGGACTGACTACCCAAGTACAGGTAGGTATACTCACCTATTGGGTGGTTGATGTAGGGAGTCATCTCGGACTGACAACCCAAGTACAGGTATACTCACCTATTGGGTGGTTGATGTAGGGAGCCATCTCGGACTGACTACCCAAGTACAGGTAGGTATACTCACCTATTGGGTGATTGATGTAGGGAGTCATCTCGGACTGACAACCCAAGTACCAGTAGGTATACTCACCTATTGGGTGATTGATGTAGGGAGCCATCTCGGACTGACTACCCAAGTACAGGTAGGTATACTCACCTATTGGGTGGTTGATGTAGGGAGCCATCTCGGACTGACTACCCAAGTACAGGTAGGTATACTCACCTATTGGGTGATTGATGTAGGGAGCCATCTCGGACTGACTACCCAAGTATAGGTAGGTATACTCACCTATTGGGTGGTTGATGTAGGGAGTCATCTCGGACTGACGACCCAAGTACAGGTATACTCACCTATTGGGTGGTTGATGTAGGGAGTCATCTCGGACTGAAGACCCAAGGACAGGTATACTCACCTATTGGGTGGTTGATGTAGGGAGTCATTTCAAACTGAAGACCCAAGGACAGGTATACTCACCTATTGGGTGGTTGATGTAGGGAGTCATTTCGAACTGAAGACCCAAGTACAGGTATACTCACTTATTGGGTGGTTGATGTAGGGAGTGATCTCGAACTGACTACCCAAGTACAGGTAGGTATACTCACCTATTGGGTGGTTGATGTAGGGAGTGATCTCGGACTGACGACCCAAGTACAGGTAGGTATACTCACCTATTGGGTGGTTGATGTAGGGAGTCATCTCGGACTGACGACCCAAGTACCAGTAGGTATACTCAACTATTTGGTGGTTGATGTAGAGAGTCATCTCGGACTGACAACCCAAGTACAGGTATACACACCTATTGGGTGGTTGATGTAGGGAGTCATCTCGGGGTCTTTTCTCCGCTGATCTTTGTGTTTTATGGCTGAGAAGTTGGCACATCTGATGATTTCTCTGGTGATGCTGCCAGTCTCTGTAGTCTGCATGGCTTCGGCTGATGTGGACACCTGTGCTTGATTGGTAATACTGGCTAGCAGTGCTGAGAGTAACGGCACCTGGACTTGTTGGTTAACACTAAGAGTAGCTGGCACCACAACTTGCTCAGGGCAGGAAACACATTTTGAGACAGACTGTGGCTGTTGAATGACCTTCAGGTGATCTTCCTGTTATAATAAACAACTATGTGACATGACAATAAAAAACAGCATTTCAGTCACAGCTTAAGTGGAGTTCTAGGATCATCTCTGTACCAGCAAATGAAAGTGTGTTAAAATTTAAAGTCACAACGATAGTATTTCAGTCATACCATGACTAAAACAAGGTCTAAATACATGATGAATATATTTAAATTATTGAAAACCTGTCAACAAAGAACAGTGAAAATAAATAGAACATCACAAAACCAGAAAGCAAAACTAGTGTCTGATTCTAAAAGTGGATTTCCAAACAGAACAATACAATATAAAAACTGGCTGTAGATCACAAACAACTAAAGGTAGACGAACGTGATCGGGTGATTAGGCTCGCTGATTTGGATGACACATGCATCCCAATCGTGTAGATTGATGCTCATGCTTTTGATCACTGGATTATCTGGTCCAGAAAAAAACTTATGGGTCGACACTGTTTTGAGGATATACGATCGGAACTTCATTGTTGCATAAGAAATACATATAAACATTTAAAAACTGTATATACTTATGTACCTAAGTATATTTTCAGATTTTTCAAACAATGGCAAAATGAGGTTGTTTAGTTTATGCATTCAAGTAAATCAAATGTGTGTTTTTAATATCATATGTAATAGACATCATATTTTGGAAAGATTTCCGCCCGTAACCCCCGTATATTTTTAATCATTATATGCCTATGTTTTTTTTATAAACAGCCTGTACCTAAAACTAAACCCAAACCCTAAAATCTAACCCTAACCCCTCGAAATAATCCTAATAAATAGAATACATTTCAAGCGGGGGTTACGGGCGGTACTCTTACCCCCTTCCTAATGTCCCACTGTTCAGGTTGAAGAAATTCTGCCAAGGTGGACAGTAGCTCAGTCCACGTGTCCGTCACGGTCGAGGGAGCAGGTGCTGACCAGCTTGCAGCTAGGTTTTCTGATTAGACAGTTGGCGAGAAACATTAATTGCTCTGGGTCAGTCTATCAGTGCCCCTTTATGCGACGAACACAGTATCATTTTCGCACCATGTAACTCATATATGAACAGATGGGCCTGATTACGTGGCACTAGCAATTCTGAGAATAAAACGTTTATCTAAATAGTTCTGTTTCCAACGATTCCCTCTCCTCGCTGTATAACGGTGAAGGAACATATGCGCTGAGAGGTGCGCGAAAACTGTATCACTAAGTTGTGCGTGGTAAGCATTTTCCTTCATACTGATCAAGCACAAAATGACATCTTGAATTTCAGTCTCGATATACACAAATGGAAATTTACTGACACACGCATCTCTAGTTAAAGTCACATTCATCAAGACGCTCACCTTCAGATTCCTTGAGAAGACCGACAATAACCTCTGTAAATATCCTTTCAATGACGTCCACGTGTTGGGCTGGTTCCGAGCTCTCTGTGCGCGTCATGAACTTGCGATATGAAGAGACGGGCCCCAGCCTATCTACACGTCAGTAGGGAATCCCTAAGCTGGGCTCCGTCTAGCAAGTTAGTGCGCACAAAGGGAGCCGGGAACCAGCTTAGGAAATCCCCAACAGCGAAGAGACACCTGGCGGGGATTCTGCACACTACCTAGACTTGCACAGGCTCTTTGACAGAGTTTTCAAGACGTGGACCCTGTAATATCGGGACAGTTTTAATTACGGCAGTGATCTACACAAATAGATCAGATAAGACAATTTCTTTATTATCCCAAGGGAAATTTGGTATGCATCAGGTACATTTTCCAGTTTTTTACATTCATAAAGCATCTATATTATATATATATATATATATATATATAACCTTGCAAGTGATAATCATAACACTGTTTGTATATAATCAGGATATATACACCAATTTAGTACACAAATATTGGTACTGTCTAGAAATTCTATATTGAAAATAGACATACAACGTCATTCATTGAATTTGTTATTTATATAACACTAACTGGAAGAAATGAGTGGCGAACCCTGTTCGCTCTAAAAGTAGGCATTCGCAGCCTGCGTCCAAAAGGTAGTGATGAATATTCCGAAAAAAGGGTATATGAGGAGGATCACTGAAAATTTGGTTTGCCTTTTTGGAATTTGCTGCTCAAAATAACTGTCGATAAAATCGATGGGAAGCCCAATAATTTCGACGCAGTGTTTACGACTTTTGAGATTTTTTTTGTTAGACAGGTACCCATCCAAACCCAAGAAATTAAATGTTTTGACACTTTGAATAAAGGTTTTGTAAAATAACATAATGACAGTTTGGTCGATTTTGAAATGTTTAACCTCCGTAAAATATGCAAACGTTGCTGTCCCTCTTTCTAAATGTTCTCAGTATTTTCATTCCAAGTGAGTTTTTAATCTAAGACATTACCCTAATATTTGTATTCAGTTACTCTCTCTTTCTCATTATCTTCAATACTTACTGCCTTTATTGTTGACTTAGTTCCAAAAAAAAGTTTTATTTACACCATTCTACAAATTTCATCTCCGTAACTACAGGTTGTTCAGCTTGACCTGAGCTACTCCACAAATGCATGACCCGGGAGGTCAAATGGCACAAACGGCTGGTCGAGTTAACTTCATTAAATAGGGGAGCAGAGAATGTTGTTATTGTTGCGTTCGTGCGAAACATGCATACATGGCTTCGTTACAGAACTTGTCCCGGAAAACAACACTTCTGAAAACACAATCATTTCATGTTTAATTGAATTGTTTTTACAGTCATATGCTATGTAGTTTGGTTTACTAACTTTACAAGGTAAAGTCAGTTACTTTCAGAATCTGATTCACTCTCGCCATCACTCTCTCCACCCAGTTCAATTATCACTTTTTCTATTTCATGTTCAACTGCAATAGGGGCGGTGGGGTAGTCTAGTGGTTAAAGCGTTGGCTCGTCACGCCGAAGACCCGGGTTCGATTCCCCACATGCTGGTGTGTTGTGGGCCGGGCAACAATGGCGGGTGCCGTCTCCATCCGTTCTCGAACACCTGGCTGTCCCTTTCTCTGCACTCCTCCCTCGTAACAAATAGTGAACTGTGTCGATATTTCAATGATAGATTGTTAAACAACTTTATTATTTTAAGGACAAAAATTCTGCTAAAACCTCACAGAGTGGGTATGATGTTTTGATTATGATCAGCGTTTCATTGAGTATGTTATGTTTATAAGTTTTCGAGTTAGATTGCAATTCATCGGTCCGCTTTTGAGCCAAACGGACTGTAGGTTTACTTTGTTGTTGTATACGGGCAGGGTCAGATAGATATTATCTACAAATGTCCACACAGAATATGCGTGATTGGTTCATTACCAAAGCAACCATCAAACAAATTGGTTAGCGTCATTTTTCAGATTTTCCTATTCAGGTTGTTATTGCAGATAAGTATAACGTGGTTCTCTGTTGTTTCTCGTTTTATTCAGAAACTACGCAAATTGTATTTGGAAACGTCACATCAAATGTAAAATGATGCAACTTGCTATTTTAAAGTGATGACTAATATATCATGAACATAAACTACCTGGAGTTTTCAAGAAATATTCAGAGTCATGACTTTCCAGTCCAAAATTTCATATTCACTTGAAAGTCCAAAATGTCATTCTCTTTATTTGGCCTTGTAAAATGTCATGTCACTCAGAATTTTTTCTGCTATCAATATTTTTCATTAATTAGCCACTAATTAAAATTCTACGAAATTAACCCAGAATAGCATGTGAAAATGTACGAAAATGCTATTTTTCCGTTGACAATATTGTTAAAACTATTCGTGCAGTCAGAATTCTTTTACTTTGTATTGAAAGAATACATATACAACTTTCACTTCAGTTATATTTTTGAAGAGTTGATGAGGACCGCTCCATAGCAACGGTTGTCAAGGTAACGGGTATTTTAACCTATAACAAAATTACTCAAAATTGATGATTTTTAGGGACATTTATCTCAGAACAGCAAACGTTTGATGTTGTAATTGCTATTACTTTTGCTTAATACAATTATGAAATTGTGATAGCAAGACATAAAAAGTTTGTAAAGTTTTGAATATTTTATTTTATTAAACGTTGAAATATAAAATATATATATATATTTTCAAAATTTTGACAGAAACAATTTGGTACATTTACCAAAAGAAATCAGCTATTTATTGAATATTCCACAAGAAAGTATTATTTAAGTATTTAAGAGGACTGTTAGGAACATTATTTGCAAAAAATAGCAGAGGGATTTGCTATGTCAACCTAACTAAGAAGTGGACGTTTTGAAGAAAAATGCTAAGTATAGACCCTCTGTGCATGCTGTATACATTTAATGCTTTGGGGGCCTAAATTACTAACAAATTACTTAAAAGCTAACCGATTTTCAAGTACTAAATCCTGTTATAGTTCTTTTTCTTAAGTACTTATGTAAAATATGCTGAGTCATCAAAATTATCATTTTCAGGGATTGTGAGATTACCTTTCTCAAAATGGAAAATAAAGTGAGAAAGTGAAGATGTCACATACTTACTTCTTCAGTGTTGGCTTTCTATACTTTTATTAAAGCATAAATGGAATATTCCTCATCACAAACATAACACAGACACCTTGTCTGAAGTATGAACCATACTTTTAAGAATATGAAGAAGAGGAGGAGGGGAAGAAGAAATGTTTATTACATAGTGTCACGCATGTAAATAAATACAAATAATGCCCGGCCATAGGGCCATGAGACACTTAAATAATACATGTACACTTAAAAATAAGGTATTACATGTACTCAATAATACATTCATACTGGCATTCTTACATTTGTCATCCGTTCAAAGCTTTCATTCATTCACGATAGAGTGAGTGAGTGAGTTAGTGATAAAGTGAGTTAGTTGGTTAGTGTATTAGTGGGTTAGTTGGTTGGTTGGTTGGCTGGTAAGTTGGTTAGTTAGTTTAGTTACTAAGTTAAATAAATAGTAAAATACATTAGTATATAAATAAAAAAAATCCTGTCAGTTTGTCATACATCCCATATATTATCGATTCATAATCTGCCATACTACCTTCCATACACCAATCCTACTCAGACAAACAACATAAACATTAACTAAAAACCATTCACACAAATCATTCACTCATATGTATCATTGTCAAACAGAATCTCTATTCACCCATTCTTTCATCCCATTCTTTCATACACTAACCCTACTCACACAAACAGCATATGGCCATATATACTAAGCACCAAAAGAAACGTCAGTTTGGAAGACGACAAGTAAGTGGGAACACACGGAAGACCAATCAGTACTGATACAGTACGCCGACGTCTTAACATCGGGAAGCTCCATTGCCGTATACCTTACCATGGACCTATCCTCACCCCTCGTCATCGGCGTGAACGTCTACAGTTTGCCCTACAACACCAAAACTGAAGATACAGGCAATGGAGAACTGTTCTGTTCACAGATGAGAGTCGGTACTGCGTATCAACTGCAGATGGCAAAACAAGAATATGGCGACGATGTGGACAGCGTTACTCAGACCAATGTGTTAAGAAAGAGACTCATGGGGAGGTGCAAGCATCATGGTATGGGGAGGAATAGGCCTGAACCAGAGAGTGGGTCCTGTGGTGTTCCAGAACCTTGGTCCAGGGAGAGGAGGCGGCATCACAGCGGTGCCCTACATCGACCAAGCTCTCTGTCATACCACTTTTCGCATGTCACCGGAACCACATTTTCCAGCATGATAATGCCCGGGCCCATACTTCCAGAGCTACACGGGACTTCTTACAGCAGAACGGTGTCAACATTGTGCAGTGGCCAGCCCTTAGTCCTGATTTAAACCCAATTGAACATCTTTGGGATGAAATTCAGATGAGACTGAATAATGTCATACCAAGGCCGAACACAGCCTATCTATTGCATCAGGCCTTTCTCAGAGTGTGGTTCAAGGTGCCAATGGCCTTCATCAATCGATTACATACTGAAGTCAAGAGTCTGAATGGACTGCAAACGTTCACGTAATGTCTTGAAATTGTTATTCACTGATGTGTCAAGATATTGTACACAAAAAATGTTTTTGATCCGCTTATTATGTCCATTTCTGTAATGATTTGATTACAGTGCCTATCTAATTTTCAATTTGTACTGACGTTTTTTTGCTGCTGAGTATATTAACCATGCTTGCCGTAAGAGGCGACTAAAGGGATCGGGTGGTCAGGCTCGCTGACTTGGTTGACATCGTATCCCAATTGCGTTTATCGATGCTCATGCTGTTGATCACTGGATTGTCTGATCCAGACTCGATTATTTCTAGACCGCCGCCATATTGGTGGAATATTACTGAGTGCGACGTAAAACTCACTCACTCACTCACTAACTTTCACTTTCACTTGTACTGTCACTGTCACTCTAACTCTCACTCTCTCACACTCACTCACTCACTCACTCGTTCTTTCAGAATCCGATCAGCATGAAGGAAGATACGAGCATCACGTTCCAATCCAAACCCTTCTTGCTGTTCACTGTTGGAGCCGTAACCTTATTCGTGATGTACAGGACTTACCAACCAAGGTCAGTTCACCTGCTGGGGACAGAGCCGCACCCAGTTTCTGATGCATGCCCAGATGTACTAAAGTGTATGGTG